AATGTATCCTGCCCAAGAACTGGCCTTTAGGAGCAAATAAATACACAGCACAAAGCTTATTCATGGAAATGCTTTTCTTAGACTCTATGTTAAGGATTATAATTGTAATAAATCTGTTACTTAACAAATTTGGGACTCTGTTTCTTAAAACAATGTATCTTATGCAAAAACATGTTGACCACAAAACTTCCTTCTGGTTTCCTTCTGGTTAATCTTGTACTGAAGTTGGCTCAGGATATATGACTTGGGAAAGGGTCCAGTGGAACTTGTACAACCTTGAGGTATTCTTCTTATCTATTCTCAGCAGCCAGTTGAAAATATAATGCCCTGCATAAAACAGTCAGGTCGGTACTCTTTTACCCCCTTCTGATATCTATGCCAGAAGCTTTCGCTGTTCTGTCACTTTAAATAAAACCTTTGTTATACAAAGCTCTGGTTGACTGAGGTCTTGTCTTTTGGGCCCTGGAGTAAAATTTTCTCCTTCAGAGACCACCAATACTGGCACCATTCACTGTAAGTTGTCAACAACCCATCCCTAACGGCCCACCTCCAGGATCCCTGGCCCTCTGCCTGCTTTTGTTCAGCTGCTCAGTCACATATGACTTTTTGTGACCCCATGGACTGCAGCACACCAAGCTCTCCTGTCCTTCACAGTCTCCTGGAGCTTACTTAAACTCATGTCGATTGAATCAGGGATGCCATCCAACCATCTCATCCAGTGTCATCCCCTTCTCCTCCTGCCTTCAATCTTTCTCAGCATCAGAGTCTTTTCCAATGAGTTGGCTGTTTTCATCAGGTGGTCAAAGAATTGGAGCTTCAGCATCAGTCCTTCCAATGAATAGTCAGGGTTGATTTCCTTTAGGATTGACTGCTTTGATCTCCTTGCAGTCCAAGGGACTCTCAAGAATCTTCTCCAGCCCCACAGTTAGAAAGCATCAGTTCTTCAGCACCCAGCCTTTTTTACGGTTTAAGACTCATATTTGTACACAACCACTGGAAAAACCATTGCTTTGACTAGATGGACCTCAGCAAAGTGATGTCTCTGCTTTTTAATACACTGTCTACATTTGTCATAGCTTTTCTTCCAAGGAGCAAGCATCTTTTAATTTCATGGCTGCAGTCACCATTCACAGTGACTTTGGAGCTCAAGAAAATAAAGTCTGTCACTGTTTCCATTGTTCCCACACCTATTGGCCATGAAGTAATGGGACTGGATGCCATGATCTTAGTTTTTTTGAATGTTGAATTTTAATTTGCCTTTTTCACTCAACTGTTTCACTTTCATCAAGAGGCTCTTTAGTCCCTTTTTGCTTTCTGCCATAAGGGTGGTATCATCTACATGTCTGAGGTTATTGATATTTCTTCCAGGAATCTTGATTCCAGCTTGTGCTTCAACCAGTCTGGCATTTCACATGATGTGCTGTCCATATAAATTAAATAAGCAAGGTGACAATATGCAGTCTTGATGTACTCTTTTCCCAATTTGGGACGAGTCCATTGTTCCATGTCCAGTTCTGTTTCTTCTTGACCTGCATACAGGTTTCTCAGGAGGCAGGTAAGGTTGTCTGGTATTCCCATTTCTTTAAGAATTTCCCACAGTTTGTTATGATCTACAGAGTCAAAGGCTTTATCATAGTCAACGAAGCAAAAATCTTTCTGGAATTCTGTAGCTTTTTTCTATGATCCAATGGTTGTTGGCAATTTGATCTCTGGTTCCTCTGACTTTTCTAAGAACATCTGGAAGTTCTCAGTTCACACACTATTAAAGGCTAGCTTGAAATATTTTGAGTTTTACTTTGATAGCATACGAAATAAGTGCAATTGTGTGGTAGATTGAACATTCTTTGGCATTGCCCTTCTTTGGGACTAGAATGAAAACTGACCTTTTCCAGTCCTGTGGCCACTGTTGAGTCTTCCAAATTTGTTGGCATAGCAAGTTCAGCACTTTCACAGCATCATCTTTCAGGATTTGAAATAGCTCAGCTGGAATTCCATCACCTCCACTAGCTTTGTTCATAGTGATGCTTCCTTCCAAAGGTCCACTTGACTTCACACTCCAAGATGCCAGGGTCTAGGTGAGTGATCACACTATCATAGTTATTTGGGTATTAAGATCTTTTTTGTACAGTTCTTCTGTGTATTCTTGCCATGTCTTCTGAGTATCTTCTGCTTCTGTTAGATCTATACTAGATTCACCTAGAGCCAGATATCCTGGAATGTGAAGTCAAGTGGGCCTTAGAAAGCATCACTACGAACAAAGCTAGTGGAGGTGATGGAATTCCAGCTGAGCTATTTCAAATCCTACAAGATGATGCTGTGAAAGTGCTGCACTCAATATGCCAGCAAATTTGGAAAATTCAGCAGTGGCCACAGGACTGGAAAAGGTCAGTTTTCATTCCAATCCCTAAGAAAGGCAATGCCAAAGAATGCTCAGACTATCGCACAATTGTACTCTTCTCACACGCTAGCAAAGTAATGCTCAAAATTCTCCAAGCCAGGCTTCAGTGGTACATGAACCGTGAACTTCCAGATGTTCAAGCTGGATTTAGAAAAGGCAGCGGAATGAGAGATCAAATTGCCAACATCCATTGGATCATTGAAAAAGCAAGAGAGTTCCAGAAAAATATCTACTTCTGCTTTACTGACTATGCCAAAGCCTTTGACTATGTGGATCACAACAAACTGTGGAAAATTCTTAAAGAGACAGGAATACCAGACCACCTGACCTGCCTCCTGAGAAATCTGTATGCAGGTCAAGAAGCAATAATTAGAACTGAACATGGAACAACAGACCGGTTCCAAATTGGGAAAAGAGTACATCAAGGCTGTATATTGTCACCCTACTTATTTAACTTCTATGCAGAGTACATCATGAGGAAGGCTGGACTGAATGAAGCACAAGCTGGAATCAAGATTGCAGGGAGAAATATAAAGAAACTCAGATTTGCAGATGACATCACACTTTTGGCAGAAAGTGATGAAGAACTAAAGAGCCTCTTGATGAAAATGAAAGAGGAGAGTGAAAAAGTTGGCTTAAAACTCAACATTCAAAAAACTAAGATCATGGCCTCTGGTCCCATCACTTCATAGCAAATAGATGGGGAAACAGCAGAAACAGTGAGAGATTTTATTTGGGGGGGGGGGGGCTCCAAAATCACTGCAGATGGATACTGCAGCCATGAAATTAAAATACGCTTTCAAACGAACAAATAAATAAATAAAACACGCTTGCTCCTTGGAAGGAAAGTTATGACCAATCTAGACACCATATTAAAAAGCAGAGACATTACTTTGCAAAGATCCGTCTAGTCAAAGCTATGGTTTTTCCAGTAGCCATGCATGGATGTGAGAGTTGGACTATAAAGAAAGCTAAGTGCCAAAGAATTGATGCTTTTGAACTGCGGTGTCGGAGAAGACTTTTGAGAGTCCCTTGGACTGCAAGGAGTTCCAACCAGTCCATCCTAAAGGAGATCAGTCCTGGGTGTCCATTGGAAGGACTGATATTGAAGCTGCAACTCCAATACTTCAGCTACCTGATTTAAAGAACTGACTCATTTGAAAAGACCCTGATGCTGGGAAAGATTGAAGGTGGGAGAAGGGGATGACAGAGAATGAGATGGTTGGATGGCATCACCGACTCGATGGACATGAATTTGAGTAAACTCTGGGAGCTGTTGATGGACAGGGAGGCCTTGCTGCAGTCCATGGGGTGGCAAAGAGTTGGACACGACTGAGTGACTAAACTGAACAGAGACGGGATTGTTTACAGGTTGTCTTTGGCCAATCATTCTGATTCAGAGTCCTTCCTGGTGGCACTCACATTGCTCAGCCAAGATGGTTGCCAGCGACAAGGATTCTGGGAGGTGGTCAGACACGTGCCATCTCCTTTTGACCTTTCCTGAACTCTTCTGGTTTGTGGTGTCTTATTAGTTCCATGTTCTTTACCAGGATCTCTGATCATAAAACAACTCATGCAAATAGTTGCCAAGGTGCCTGGCCAGGGGTGGCAGTTTCAGTCAGTGTGCTTACCCTAACACTTATAAAGGCAAATCAATGGGTCTTCACAGTCTTGATAAAATCCAGAGTCCTCAATTTCCCAATTGGAGAAGCCCATTTCTTCTCTTTTATTGCTTTCTGACACACATCTGAAGATATCATTCTGTGGGTCAATGTTCAAGTCCCTTGAGAAACTTCTAGGGAAAAGAGCAGTGGAATCCCCCAGGATACCCCAGGCTCACGTCTGTGCACGCTAAGGTGGCAGAGCACTCTGATGCCATCACCTGCTGATTATTTTCTCTTTCTAATCCTCAACCCTTCTTTTGAGACTCAGGGGAGTATTTTCACTTTAAATCCTCCTCCAAAAAATGCTCAAGATCAAATTCCGAATAGGGTGGTTAAGGTAGGGCACTAAGAGAGGAGTGCAAAGGTGTGGTAGAGGGCATCGCAGGCAGAGAAAAGACAGGACATTATTATAAATAATTGTGATGTGTTATAATACTTAGTAATTATTGATTCAACGCGTGTTGGAGCCGTTGTTAACGCTAATTCTTTCCCAGTAGAGAACGGCGCAGGGTCAGCGGGGACTTTCCCAATTCTGAAAGGTAACAGAGGCTGCGGAAGGGGAAGGCTGGAACCCGCAATAGCCGGGAGTTGCCAATCTGCGAAGTCCCAGTTGCTTAAGGTGCCAGCGAACAAGGGCGTGGACGCAAATCCTGTTTGCCCAGGGCAAAGTCTTGAGACCTCGGTGTCCAATCAGTACGAGAGTAAACATCCGACGCGGCGCAGGCTGTAAGGCGCCCCTCAGGTTCCCGGTGCCGCCCTCGCCCTCGGCCACGCCCTCGCGGCGATGACGCACGTCTGGGCCGCCTCGCCACCCGATTGGCCGGGAGGCCGGAAAGCCGGCCCCGAGCGCCACGTGTACTAGGGGCCCGCCGGAAGGCGAAGGCCGGCACTGACTCGGCTGGCGTGTGCGGCGCGGAGCCGGCCGGGGCTGCGTCGCCATGGAGCGGGACGGGGATCAGCTGTCCGCGCGGCCCGCCCTGGAGGCCGAGGGGCTGCGTTTCCTTCACGTCACGGGTGAGTGGGCGCGCGCCGCGAGCCGCGGGGCCGCGCCACCACCCCTGGCTCGCCGCCATGTTCAGTGAGTAGTCCTCCACGGCGCTCTGGGCCGGCCGGTGCCCGCAGGCCTGTGCGGTGGGCCGAAGCCGCGCGCGGAGGCTCTCCCGGAGCCCGGCTTCCCTGGGCTTTGCAGTGGGCCCTTGGTTGGGCGAGTCCTTTACCTTGCGCGACACAGGCGGTAGAAGCCCTTCCGGGTCGCAGTTACTGGGCTCACTGGGCCCTTGTCGTTTGCCGCCAAGCCGTGCTCCCCCCACCGCCGCGCCCTCGCGCACGCCCCCAAACTGTCCTGTGCCAGGCCCCCGCGGCTACCCTTTTCCGTCCGTTGCCTGGCTCCTTAAAGCCCTTCCCTTCCTGATTCGGACACACCCCGTCATCCTTCAGAACCCGGCTGACGTGCCCCGCCTGCCTCGGGCTTGCCCCTCCGATTCCGCAGGCGGCTGAGAAGTACCTTCTCAGGGATCCCTGGATTGTACTTTTCGCTGTTTTAACTGTCTTAGGAAGTCCTCCGCTAGGAAAGTCCGGTGGTAGTGTCATTTTTAGTTTCTTGAAAACTGTGAATGTTTTATTCTTTTCAGTGGGCTCCCTGCTGGCCACTTACGGCTGGTACATCGTCTTCAGCTGCATCCTTCTCTACGTGGTCTTTCAGAAGCTTTCCACCCGGTTGAGGGCGTTGAGGCAGAGGCACTTAGATCAAGCTGCCGCTGCTCTGGGTTAGTATGTCTGTGTGTGTGTACGTGCCTGTGCGCGCGTGTACGCTCAGTCGTGTCAGAGTCTTTGGGGCCCATGGACTGTAGCCTGCCATGCTCCTCTGTCCATAGAATTTTCCAGGGAAGTGGACTGAAGGCGTGGCTTTACCCGTACTTCTTGTAGTATTTATAAGTTAGTCTATTGTTATGAGTAAGAGGTATCTGTCTGATCTGTGTGGGAGGAAAACTGTTTTACATTTCAAAAGTTGATGTTGGTGAATTGCAATAGTGTTTTTTTAAATTTCAGAGTTTTTGAACACCCTCTGCCTGCATCATTCTTCATTTACAGGAGAGATTAAAATGAAAGCGTCACAGCTTCTCCATACTTATGGGTGTGCCTATTAACTCTCAGTTATCTCTGGAACCATTGTCAGTGACAGGAAACTCAGCCTTAGTTCCTCACATCCACTGTACTTTGCTTTTCACAACTTACTCATCAGACCTGATGGCAGATTTACACATGGCTGTTTCAAAAACTCATTCCCTCTAAAACAGTCACCTTTTAACTTGTTAGAAGTTACAGTTTCTGAGGACATATTCAAAAGAATATTCAGTATTTTGATAATAGTAGTATACTTAAATAACTACTAATCATCAGTGATCTGAGTCACCACAGTTATGAAGCTGGGGAAGAAAACAAACATCATAACATAGAAGTAGTCATTAGTAGAAGGACCTAAAAAATTCCTTCACTCTCCTCTCCCATGAAACTATGTGGTCCTGCCATTATCTCAGTTTTTTGGTTGTTGGCTATATATCTCAAAAAACAAAGTACAATTGTAAATCTTGCGTAAGTTGCAGGATAATGTGAAGTGCATGAGGTTAGAGAACAGCTTCAATCACCTGGTACAGCCCTTACTGGCACTGTGAGCTGCTGACAGCTGAGGAGTGGATTTGTAAGATAATGGGATGGGCATCTCAGAAGAGGAGTTTGTTTTAAGGAAGTGTTGCACAAAGTAAATGTGCAGTGAAAAGTGTACTTTGTATTGTACAATTTTGTTAGGAAAATTAGATTTAAAAAATCCATACATAATTTCTTTTTTTCTAAGAATAAAACAGCAATTTCAAATGTTGCTACAATTCACATTTCTATAAAGCAGAACAATAGTTTCATTTTTAAAGGTAAAAGTCTGTTCATTTCTGCCACCACACACATAACACACAACACCCAGCCATACCCATTTTGTCCCCTGTTTTACATGGATTCAGTTAAGTGACCTTTTTTCCATTGCTTTTTACTGTCTGTGGGTAATGGTGATCACACATCCTTTGGATGATGCTTATGTGAACATAATAGTTCTAGTTTGTTTCTTTGTCAAGAAAATTAGTCACACCACTGTGTAGTTCCCCGTAGTGCTCCTTAAACACAGTGGTCTGCATAAAGCAGGTCAGAAACTTGTGTTTTTGTATAATTTGCTTTGTTGTATAAACCAGATAAAAATAAATATCTGGGGCGGCCATTTCTATTAACGCTAGTTGGAAGGATTTTTCTTTTCTGTAGAAACAAGGATAAAATACCTAAATATCTTTACCTCCTTCTGGTATATATCTAGACTAATTAGGTGATAGCTAATAATCAGAAAACTTTCTTTCCCTTGGTTATCTTCTAGAATTCTGGTCAACCTAGAGGCTGGGTGTTAGGAGGTATCCAGGATGTGAAATCAAGTTTTGCTGTGGCTGCCTGACCACTCATATTTTAATCTTAGGGCCCATGCCAGATTATCTGAATTGGGACTGCTCAGGTAGCCCAGAAATCTGTTTTGAACAGAGATTTCTGATGCTGTAAGTATTTTAACAACGACTCTGAACTGAGGCTGTGTGATAGTCTCCTTCCCCTTTAAGCAGTAATTAAATATATGAAGAAGAATAGGCTTACTCATGTTAAATAAAAAGTTCTTGTATTGTTTGATTTCTATACACTTCTAATAATATAGACCTCAAGAGTTTCCATTTTATATTTTACAAGGTGCTTTATTCCAGTTTTTTTCTGCCTTTTCAGAACCTGATGTTGTTGTTAAACGGCAGGAGGCTTTAGCAGCTGCTCGTTTGAAAATGCAAGAAGAGTTGAATGCACAAGTTGAAAAACATAAAGAGAAATTAAGACAGGTGTGTACTGGTTTTAGTTTGAATACATGATATTTGAGGTTTAGTTGTTAAAAGTGTGTGTATGTGTGTGTGCATGCACTCACATTTTGGTGGGTACAGGGAACACTTTCAGGCTGAATCATTTACACTTAGTTAAGTATTGCTCAGCATGTTTTACTTGTATAATTTTTTAATATTTAGAGGTGAAGTGCTCTTAAAGAATTAAATACTCTTAAGTAGTCTTATATTTATGTTTTTACTTTTAAGTGGTTCCCTTATAGCAATGTTTTGCCCAACAAAACCGTGTGCTATGTGCAGGAGCCGTACCACCAGACGCAGAACACACATTCAGCGTATTCATGGTCGGTTTCAAGCTTTGCATCTCACAGGACCTGACTCGGTGGGGCCACTCTTCAGTGGAGTAAAGAAGAGCCAGGGGAGGGTGGCAGTGGACTGAGGCGGTGGGGAGGAAGAGCCAGGGGCTACTGTTGAAGTGACCTGAGCAGCCAGGTGGCTTGTGCTGCTCGTCACAGGAGTGAAGCACACTTCCTGTGCTGGCCCCAGTCTGTGTAACTGAAGCAGCTAAGTGTAGGCTCCACTTCCTGGTTTCATTACAGATGTTTCTGGGCTCCTCTTTATCCCATTAGAAGGAAACCAGAGAAGTTGGTCTTCCTGCTGGTCTTACATGTGCCTCTGGTGTTTCCAGAAAGGAATGCCTATCTGCCACCACTGCTGACTTTTGTTTTCTGCATGATCACTTAGTACATGGCTGGTGTCCCTATCGTGGCTGGAACCCAGAGTGAAAGGACAGAGCAAAGTTTTTTAGGTATTTTTCCAGAAATATTTTATCCATATATAAATGCATGCTTATGTAGTTTTTCCATAGAAATGGCAGCATAATACACATAGATGCTATTTTTAAGCAGTTTTTTTTTTCTTAAACTTTAGAAAGTGTTTTAAAGTTTTTGAGAAATATTTAATTGTTTTGTTTTTAGAGCCCAAGAGTAAGTTAAGTTCCTTCTACATGTCAAAATTAATGACTTGAGGGTTTGAGTTTTTTGCATTAGTAAAACAGCCTGATCATTTACTCAGTTTGCTGATGTAGCTGGGGAAAAAAAGGCTTTTAAAAGATTGTTTTTAAAATCTGTAATGTGAGCCTCCTAAAATTGGAGAAAGGATGGAAGCCTGTGTTCAGTTTTAAAGTTGTGGTTCTGTTTTGTTTGTTCAGTCTCTCAGTCGTGTGTCTGGCCCTTTGTGAACCCATGGACCACAGCACGCCAGGCTTCTCTGTCCTTCACCACCTGTGGGAGTTTGCTCAAACTCATGTTCATTGAGTCGGTGATGCCATCCAACCATCTTATCCTCTGTCACCCCTGTTTCCTCCTACCTTCAATCTCCCAGCATCTTCAGACTCCCAGAGTCTTTTCCAATGAGTCAGTTCTTCGCATGAGGTGGCCAAAGTATTGGAGCTTCAGCTTCAGCATCAGTCCTTCCAATGAATATTTAGGACTGATTACCTTTAGGATTGACTGGTGTGTTCTCCTTGCTGTCCACAGGACTCAGAAGAGTCTTCTCCAGCACCACAGTTTGAAAGCATCTATTCTTTGCTGCTCAGCCTTTCTTATTGTCCAACTCTCGCATCCATACATGACTGCTGGAGAAACCATAGCTTTGACTATGGACCTTTGTTGGCAAAGGAATGTCTCTGCTTTTTAATACGCTGTCTAGGTTGGTCATAGCTTTTCTTCTAGGGAGCAAGCATCTTTTAATTTCATGGCTACAGCCACCGTCCACAGTGATTTCAGAGCCCACGAAAATACAGTCTGTTACGGTTTCCATTGTTTTCCCATCTGTTTGCCATGAAGTGATGGGAGTGGATGCCATGATCTTTGTTTTTCAATGTTCTAAGCCAGCTTTTTCACTCTCCTCTTTCACCTTCATCAAGAGGCTCTTGATGCTTTCTGCCAGGGTGGTGTCATCTGCATATCTGAGGTTACTGATATTTCTCCTGGCATATTGATTCCAGCTTGTGCTTATTCAGCCTGGCATTTCCCGTGATGTACTTTGCATAGAAGTTAAATAAGCAGGGTGACGTATAGCCTTGACATACTCCTTTCCCTGTTTTGGACCAGACCATTGTTTATGTCTGATTCTATCTTCTTGACTTGCATACAGGTTTTGCAGGAGACAGGTAGGGTGGTCTGGTATTCCCATCTCTTTAAGAATTTTCCACATTTTGTGATCTGCACAGAGACTTTAATGTAGTCAACGTGGTTCTGTATACTTAAGAAAAGTAACAGTCTTCCTGTCTCACAGTTAAGTCTGCTCTCTTGTATGTGGTCTCAGAATTTTTCACTGATGTACCATTCTGATGTTTTTCATATTGGCTATAAACATAAAAGAACCTTCAGATCAAGAAGCAGTTTATTCCTTAACCTCCTGTACTTGCAGACAGTGAAGGCATGAAGGGACAGGCATTTGGGCTTAACAGTGATGGACCCTGAACCGTTAAGAAATTTCCGGATGTGTGCTTTCTAATGCATCCTCTTGCATATCTTTGTGGCATCACAGTTTAATTGGAACCAGAATGAATTGAAGTTTGGGTTTGGATTGTGTCAGGAATTGAGAGAGTTAGTGACCTTGGTGTGCACGTGAGTTGCAGTCCCCAGTTGTTCAAGGAGTAGGAAGCAGAGGCAAAGACCTCGGGCATTGTGTTTCCCTCCTGTTCACTGCTCAAGCTTTCCCAGGTGCTTGTTGTTGAACATGGTTTTCTACTGAGATTAGTTTTCTCTTATGCTCCCACAGTACCTTACTTTCAGAGAACTTTCAAATTTGCTCTCATTGGTTCCTCACAGCCTTCGAAGTTGAAGGGTTAATTGACTTTCCTCAGGTGACACAAGCAAATAGCAGCAAAGCACACCTGCCAGCCACACTGACCCTTTTCAAGTCAGGGTTCTTCCACATGACCGGAAATGTCTAGTTTAAAAGAAGAATAGGTATTCTTTCTTCTGTGACACTTTTTGCTTTCTTTAATAGTATGCAAAAGCAAAAGATTCTGTATCTGAATTAAACTCACACACCACTAGATGATAGCTGCTTTATTAACTGAAGAAAGTGCAGGTGAAAGTTTGAAGAACATTTAAATTACAGATTATCAAAAGCAGATTTTCTTTGAGAAAGATGGCAGCTTATGAATTCATTCTGTATCATGTGCGATTCTTCCTCAGCTTGAAGAAGAAAAAAGGAGACAGAAGATTGAAATGTGGGATAGCATGCAAGAAGGAAAAAGTTATAAAGGAAATACAAGAAAGCCTCAGGTGATGTAGCCTTCAACCTAGTGGACTTTTTTCAAGTAGGTGAAGATTCCTGGAGTAGTATGTCTTAACTAGATTCTTAAGCCTGTATAAATTCAAACAGGAAGAAGACAGTCCTGGGCCTTCTACTTCATCAGTCATCCCGAAACGAAAATCTGACAGAAAGCCTTTGCGAGGAGGAGGTAAGTGTCAAATGTTAAAGCATTCTGAACAATGACTGGCTAAATTTACCTGAAACAGGATTCTCTTTTCTTGATTCATTGTCTATAAACTGAGACTAATTCATAAGTGTAGGTTATGAAGATTAAATAAAAGAAATAGATGTAAAACAGCCATCAGTAGCTAGAAATGACCAACCTGCTGAACCCTATCATTGCCCCAGGGCCTCCAGCAAGGCTGTGGGTGCATGTCCTGTTTCCAGAAGGCCTCTGACCTCCTTGGCCTCAAAAAAGTTAGCATTTGATCAGCAATGAAGAAGGAGGTCACTCGAGGCTCTCAGGAAATAATCGGGACAGTTGCACTTGTATTTTAATATTTTTCACTTGATCCCACAGTCCTGTAATGGGTGAGTTAAGTGAGGCAAGGAGTAGTTTGCCTGTTTTGCATATGAATGGGGCAGGGGCCTAGGACCTGGGTTTTGGTCTTTACAGCCAGGGCTGCCTTGTTTCTTACGAATAACTCCCTCAAGGAGGTGTGAACAGATACTCATTAAGAGACCTTTTGTGTGCAGTACCCCCGAGCACTCTGGGTGGCTCCATAGCAGTCTGTACCATCCCATCCTTGAGGACTTTCACGTACTTTTGGGAAGATGGGACTGCCATACAATTGAAAATAAGTAAACTTTTGTGATCTGCCAGGAGTTCCTCCTCCATCTGGAGAGAGGGGCGGGCAAAAGCATTAGAATGCTTTGTGAAGGAACCAGTTCTAGGCTGAAGACACTTTTTTCTATCTGGGAAGAGGGGTTTTCTCTGGCTAGGTGCCAGCAGAGGCAGAGGTGTGGAAGCCTGGCCAACCTCTTGGAGGACTGAGGGGAGTCTGTGAAGCCTGTGAGCTCTCTGAAGCCGGAACACAAGGTGGGCTGCCCTTTAAAGTGGGCTCTGATCCCTTCCTTTGTGTTAGGAACTCAAAGCTGTCCTGTCTAGGGGAGTGGTGTGTCTGAAAAGAAAATGCTTTTTTAAGTCTTTTCGTGCTCCAGCAAGAAATAATCTTCTAAGACCATTTTGCAGATCAAAGAGTGGTAGTATTCAGGAGACAATTGTAGAAAATGGAATGTATGGTGTGCGGTGTGCATGCCTCTAGCATTCCTAGCAATCCAGAGCTGGGGGCTTCGAATGGCTTGTCTTTACAGGCCTTAAAGAAACTGAGTCACAGGGAGTTGGTGACCAAAGATTCTACAGTAAGTAAGGAACAAAACCACTTCACTTAAGGTCTTGCTGACTCTAGAGCCTGAACAGAATGGTCGCCAAATGTCTATTAACTTTAGGAAGTTAATGAGTGGGCAAGGATGGGTGTGGGGGCTGGGGCATGTGGATTTCCCAGTTCTGACTGGTGAAAGTGACAGCAAGTTCCATTCTGTTTTGATTTTTATAATTTATTTTCTGTAGCTTGAACAGTTCTTACTTGAATGTATTTGTTTTATTAAGCACTACAGTTAGAAGCCTTTATATATCTAAATTTAACCATCTTGAGAGGCTTTGGGGGCAAATTTTTTGTGTATTTGGGGGAGATTTTTGTGTTTTGATAGCTAAAACAGAAGCTGAATGGCTTGTTTTATTCAAGTCAGTTCAGACTGCAGTCACATTATAGAAAGTCAGTTCAGTATATACAATGCAATATAATGCAATCATAAAGTTTTTTTCTCTTGTAGCTTAAAGTTTTATGAAAATGTTTATGAGAATAGGATTGTATCTTTGCAGTGCTTTGCATATCAGGCTTACAGTCTTCTGTTTGATGCAAAATGTTTCCAGCACTGTTTTGCTTCCTTTCTGTTGTCACAGGTTACAATCCTTTGTCTGGTGAAGGTGGTGGAACCTGCTCCTGGAGACCTGGACGCAGAGGACCCTCATCTGGTGGATGAGGCTAAGAATCTTGTTAGTGTCACTTTTGACATTAGCAAGATGAATCCTTAACCCTCAACTCAATTGCCTTACGCATGCTTTTCACAGTGATTGGCCAGGGGGAGGGGCTTTCTTTCTGTTCTTAACTATACTGATGACTTCAAAGATTGAAGGCAGCATAGGGTGTAGACATGGCCACTAGACAGTAATTGCAGTTAGTCACACTCCACTGAAGCCAGTGACTGTTCATTGATTTCACAAGTCATTGTTAGTTGGTAGCTAAGGGCTTCCAGGTGATTGGTGATCTTGATAAAAGAGACCTGGCAATGATCCTTCAAGTTAAGAGATCCTTGCTGGTAGGACAGTCTCTGTGACAGCTTGCGTTGAATGATGTCTTCCTTGTAAATGGTGAACTCACCAGCAAGGATTACTGATGCAGACAGTTGATGGGGTTTTTCTGTAAATTTATATGTACAGAACTGAAAAAAAAAAAAAAAAAAAAGACAAGACTGTAAATATTAAAAAAAAATGCAGAGAACATTTTCAATATCTTTATTAAATTTAAGGAAATTTCCTTATGAACTTGAATTTGTCTGTCTAACATTATACAGCTTTTTATCATTCACAACCTCCCATTAATAAGACTTACTTTCTTCTCTCATTATTGCTAACCTCATAGAGCATGAAAAGTGGGACAGCTGCAGTGGTTTTCAGAGTTGGAGGGCTCCTGGGGGTTTATCCACAAAACCAGGCACTGGAAGTTGAGTTTCTGCATTAATAGGGCAAAGAAACATCTTGCCTGTAAGTACGTCAGGGGTCAGTGGGGTTTTTGGAAGCCCTGTGAGTCCTCTGTCTTGCACTCATTTCTTATGTCCTTGTTCAGAGCCTCTGTGAAGTATGTTATAAAGCGCCAGGTAGTAAAGATTTTAGGCTTGGCAGGTGGCGCAGTCTTTATTTTTTAAATTTTTAAAGAATTGTTAAATACATTTAAAAATACTTAGCTCACGGGCTAGATTTGTCCTGCTGCCTGTAGTTTGCTGATCCTGCTTCATGTCAAGATCATGGGAAAGAATAATGGAAAGTTTTAGACTTGGGTTAAAATACTTCATCTAGGTCTGTTATTTACTTCTAGAGAGATTGATTCCCTGTAGGATATAAATGAACTTCTAAGAGTTCTTCCTTTAATATATTTTCTGTAATTGAAAATACATAGTTAAGCAGATATCAGCTATTCATTTTAGAACTAGAAGGCATGTCTCAGTATACTATTAGCTGTGACTTTCCCCTCAAACCTCCTTTTTTCCCCCATAAGTTAAGAAATTATCAGGTATAAACACATAGGAAGAAATGTTGAATTCTGTGTACCCACCTTGCATCTGGCAGTATGACTGTGGTGGTGGAGAGGTGGTACCATGTTAGTAATTGATGGGGAGACAATAGAAGAGAGAAGGAAACTAATTGTGTAATAGCATTTGAAGAGCACTTGCTGTTTGCCAAGCATGTACATTTATATTTAATCCTCACTACAGTTCTGTGAGGTAGGTACTTCTAATTAACCTTGGTTTTTAGAAACTAGCTTGTAGGGTCAACTGGTGCAAGACCCCGATCACTATAGTCTGTTTTGTCCTTGTGTTTCTGATAGCCAAAGGCTGTACAGCCAAGGGTCATAGGAAACCAAGATGGGGAGCTTGATGTAGCTAATGAAACAGCTACCATGTGGAATAGTGAATGCTTATAAAGTATTGTGTGCTACGAGTCAAGAACAGTAGATATTTCAGAAGCATGGACTAAAGTTGCCAGAGGAGATGGGTCCTGTGCTCCTGTTGGAAGAAGTGGTGCCAGAATCCGAGGCCCCTGGGGAAGAAGGGGTGGGTCAGAACACAGCCGAACAGGCAGAACACTGCCTTATGCTGCAGTGCGGGGCTGCAGCTTGGAACTGATGCAGTAGTCATGTATTTAAATGATGCGTAACCCAGTCCATCCTGATCGTGGAGTAACATCAGTAAGAGGGCAAAAGACACATAAACTTTCAGCTGAAACTTTCTGGTGCCTAGAGTTGTGGCTTTGGCCAAATGCAACTGCTTCCTTTGGGAAAAGGTACTACACACTCTTTCTCAAGGACCACTCTTGCCTATCTTTCTGTTCTCCCCTGTGCCATTTCTATTAGCTGCTCCTCAAACATGTCAAGTCTTTATCATAATATAAGCACAGAGCCACATCACATCCACAAAACCCTGATTCCTCCTGGTGCTCTTTCCTGTGGAATGAGCTTTGGGTTTTCTCCATTCATCATCTGTTTCTGCCCACCCTCTGCTTAATGTTGCATATGCTCTTCCTGGATCATCCTGTTTCACTCCCATGGAGTTTTTGGTTTCATCTTACTTGACCTGACAGCAGTTGGCCCTTCTTGCAATTTTCCCTTCTCTTGCCTTCTGAAACACCACACTCTGGGTCTTTACTCCCAAGACAGCTTATACTTCTGTGCCAACCCTGCCCAGCACTTCTGGTCGTATCGAATAAGTTCCTATACTTTTTCCAATTTCTCTTCCTCCATTTGCTGTTATATTTGGTTCACTAAAGCTCTTCTTAAGGTGACATGTATCTAATGGATCATTCTTGGGTTTCATCATTTGCAGTAATTGCCTACTCCTTGAAAAACTGTTCTCAATTTCTGGGGCTTTGCACTTGTCTGGTTTTTTCCTACCTTTCTTATCAATCTGCTGCTTTTCTTCAACTTCCTGAGCTCTAAATGCTGATGTTGAAGTTACAAAAGGAGTTATAAAAGGCAAAAAGGTAATCAGTGTGAGTGGGCATTGGAGAAACCACAAATGTATGATGGAGTGATTAGGCAAATTGGTATTTGTAGCTTGAAATAATGTCAGCATAGCATACCCCAATTCAAATACTGTGTATCCAAAGAACTTACATGGAAAATGACGTGTTCTGGAAAACTGAAGTCTCAGAGTCATACCAGTCTGACAATGAAGAAGATACTATAAACAGCACAGAAATATGCCCTGCCCTCATGGGCCATTCTGTCTGTTGGAGGGAGATGAACATCACACAGTTGTTAATACAAAAATAAATGACTGAAAACAGCAAAGGATGGTGGGATAGAAGGACAAGAGTTCATCCCTTCTTACAAAAAAAAAAAAAACAAAATAGCAACTAACTGCTGAGCAGCCATGAACAACAACAAAAATGGGGGAACCTACCAAAAAAGATAACCTACATGCAAAGACAAGCCACAAGATGATAACGAGGGATGCAATTGCAATAAACCCATACCCAAAGGGTGGGTAACCCACAACTGGAAAACAGTTGTACCACAAAAGTTCCACTAGAGTGAAAGATCTGAGTCCCACATCAGGATTCTCAGCCTGGGGGTCTGGCAATGGAAGGAGGAGCCTCCAGAGAATCTGACTTTGAAGGTCAGCATGCTGTGTCTCAGGAATTCCACAGAACTGAGGGAAACAGAAATTCTACTTTTGGAGGGCACCAAGAGTCTAGTGTGCACCAGAACTTAGGGGGAAAAGGAGTGACTGCATAAAAGACTGGGCCAAGATCTCCAATCTGCTAGTTTTGGAGGGTCTTGAGCAGAGCCAGGGGACAGCTAGGAACAAGAAAATTATGAGTGTAAAGGCTCACTGCTCAGTTCAGTTCAGTCGAGTCTTGACTCCTTGTGAACCCATGGACTGCAGCACACCAGGCTTCTCTATCCATTGCCAACTCCTGGAGCTTGCTCAGACTCATATCCAATGAGTCAGTGATGGCATCCAACCATTTCATCCTCTGTCGTCCCCTTCTTTTGCCCTCAATCTTTCCTAGCATCGGGCTATTTTCCAATGAGTCAGCTCTTCACATCACATGGCCAAAGTATTGGAGATTTCAGCTTCAACATCAGTTCTTCCAATGACTATTCAGGACTGGTTTCCTTTAGGAGTGACTGCTTTGATCTCCTTGCAGTCCAAGGGACTCTCAAGAGTCTTCTCTAACACCACACAGTTCAAAAGCACCGATTCTTTGGCACTCAGCTTTCTTTATGCTTCAACTCTCACATTCATACATGACTACTGGAAGAACGATAGCCTTGACTAGACGGATCTTTGTTGGCAAAGTAATGTCTCTGCTTTTTAATACAGTGTCTAGGTTGGTCGTGGCTTTTATTCCAAGGAGTAAGTGTCTTTTAATTTCATGGCTGCAGTTACCATCTGCAGTGATTTTGGAGCCCCCCAAAAATAAAGTCTGTCACTTTTTCCCCATCTTTTTGCCATGAAGTGATGAAACCAGATGCCATGATCTTTGTTTTTTGAATGTTGAGTTAAGCTTTTTCATTCTCTTGACTTTCATCAAGAGGCTGTTTAGTCCCTTTTTGCTTTCTGCTGTAAGGATGGTGTCATCTGCATATCTGAGGTTATTGATATTTCTGCCCTCAATCTTGATTCCAGCTTGTGCTTCATCCAGCCCAGCATTTCGCATGATGTACTCTGCATATAAGTTAAATAAGCAGGTTGACCATATACAGCCTTGACATACTCCTTTCCCAATTTGGACCAGTTCCATGTTCAGTTCTACTCTTGCTTCTTGACCTGCATACAGGTTTCTCAGGAGGCAGGTAAGGTGGTCTGGTGTTCCTGTGTCTGTAAGAATTTTCCAGTTTATTGTGATCCACACAGTCAAAGGCTTTGGCATAATCAGTAAAAGAAGTTGTTTTTCTGGAACTCTCTTGCTTTTTCTATGATCAAACAGATGTTGGCAATTTGATCTCTGGTTCCTCTGCCTTTTCTAAATCCAGGTGAACATCTGGAAGTTCTTGGTTCACATACTGTTGAAACCTTGCTTGGAGAACTTTGAGCATTACTTTGCTAGTGTGTGAGATGAGTACAACTGTGCGGTGGTTTGAGCATTCTTTGGCATTGCCTTTCTTTGGGATTAGCATGAAAACTGACCTTTTCCAGTCCTGTGTCCACTGCTGAGTTTTCCAAATTTGCTGGCATACTGAGAGCAGCACTTTCACAGC